TAAGACTTTATACACTCGACCCCGTGACGTTACATAGCTCCAATTACATAGCTCCAAAACTCATGGCTAATGATGCTTTCGGGCCACTCGTCTTCTGGTTGTTTTATGTAATGGGCTCTATATTTTTAGAGCTACTTCGCAATCACTCCGGTGCTGCAACCAAGCCAAGATCCCGCAGCCCATGGACATTCCGCCGATGCCTCCAATGCCGCCTCCATCGCCGCCCTCGCAGCACCGTGAAGTGCGGTAAAAAGTGACGGCTGAGTCTGGGCATGGCAGGTTCCGTGAGCCGCGAGCCCCGCGAGCCTCCCTTATCTCCAAGTACTTTCAGCCCGGACCTGTCCAGGTCTTAAGCACTACATTCGAGACGTCTCAGGGCTTCGGCAGAGTGCCAGAAGAAAGTGCGGTGCTTCACTTGCTGGATGCGCGACTTTCGTCGGCTCGAATGGCTCTTTCGAACTGGGCACAGGTAGTCGGCTTTCGTACGTGCCATCCAGGCCATGGCTGGCTTTGCTCAGACCCCTCAGACAGACGGTCCCAAAGCCGGGACCAAGAATTCCATGTGCTCGAGCATCATTCTAAACAGAAGCTTCAGAAGCTACTTGCTGGATGCCAGCCCCCGTCTGGCCTGAAGGTACTCGTCTTTGAATGTCATGCTTGAGAGCCGTAGCCCGACCCCCCAAAAACAAAACATGCCTGGAAGACTTGCGGGAATTCACAGGCTGGCACGAGCATGATGTCGTTCACGGAAACCTCGCAGTTGCTGCAGAAGGCGGTCCAATTAACTTTTCGTAATGCTCGATGGTTGTCGTTTGGCCTCTCATGTTGGCTTCAGCTCTCGAAAGCCATCTGGGTGTTTCTGGACGTGGGGTCATTTGCATCTGCTGGCACTGTTGTTACATGGTAGTTTCACAGCGACGGACGGAGCGATCTCAGCCGCGGTCTGGTTTCGACAGCTGATCACTGAGAGTTTGGGTGGGGAGGTCCAATTAGGGCGTTCATGTCGTAGGGTATCGCACGGTCGACGCAGTTCAGACGCTTGATGAGTGAATGCAGGGAACTGCCTTTCATTTGGGCGGGTTGTGTGGCTGCGGCGCCAGGAGCTGATGAATGACTACAGCTATCGCGACATCCCGAGTTTCTCCGGGCACATGCTTTGCATCAATGTTGCCGTGAGGTGGTGGGTTGAGAGCAGAGGGGAGCAATCGTCTCCTTCCGAAGCCGTTTTGTCTGAAGCAGAACTCCTGCCAAGCGCCATGAAGCCAAAGTTTTCTCCGGGCCCAGGTGTGGATGGCATACCACCAGGGATGAATGACTCCCAGTACGACTTCAGCCAGGTGCAGCCGCGCTCTCGGGAAGTCTTCCGTTCTGAGTGCAAAATCCACATGTTCAGCCTACTATATTGCTGCCTTGTCGCAGTCTCCGATGTCCAGGCAGGAGCCATTGCAAGGGTAGGGCTCGCTGCGAAGAATTTAGGACTCCTGTCAGGGCTTCACCTTGGGCCCATCTTCAGTACCGAGGTCGCACCCTCCTCCCAGCGCATACATGCAGCGAACTGCTGCAGCAGGTGCTGTGAAGTTGTACGTGAGAAGTTTGGGTGAGAGCACTGGTGTTGTTGGCTCCTGATGGGGTTATTCGAAAATTGCTCCTAAAATTCATGTTGCAAAGCCCACCAAAGCCCCACGTCCGAAGCCGGATTCCTCGCCGCAAATCGTTGATTCTGAAGGTATCGCCGGAGTCCTAAGCCCTGTGCCCGAAATCCACCTGACAAGCTGAACCCCTTTCCTCGATATACAAGAGACAACTTGCTCCTGCCGTCCCAGAAATTGCTCATGAGCCTCGAAGGCCTTGAAGTGTCGATCTAGCCATTTGCGAGTGATGAGCTTTGAGCAGGTGTGCTTGCCTTGCCGGCTTTAGATACCGGCAAGCTTCAAAGCAGCAGATCTGAACAAAGTCTACACTGCCTACACACTTCGCTTCTTCGCTTCGGTTGTGGCGCAACTCTCCGGCACTGGTGCCGTTAAGAATCCTCTCGAATCCATTATTTGAGAACTTCATCGCGAGCCTTTGATGGCCAGGCGGCAGAGCATCCGCGATGCCACAAAGTAGAGCGAACGGTGCCGACCTAAGCATTCGAGGAGCTTCCGATTTGAGGGCTCCGCGTTTTTTCGTGCTATATGTTTGGAATCACAGCTGCTGAATGCAGAGCTTGCCGATGCGCCCCACCCTCCCCTGTACTCGGTGCTACGACAGGATCCCTGCTAGGGGAGAACAAGTCTGGGTGGTTTGGCCAAATGTGTAGCGTTGATTGGACAGCAACATGGCACACAAGCCATTTCTATGTTTTCCACAGTTAACACTCAGTTAACACAACAGTTATTGCTGTTGAAATGCTGCAAAAACCAGCATTTTCTCCCCTCCCTTCAGAGCAATAACAAAAGATTTTTTGCTTCTTTAATGCATAAAATCCACAAAATGCTGTTTTTTGCGCAAGGGCTTGCGCATAGCATGCTGAGCCTTTGCCGTTGGGGCTTGGTTTGGGCCGTTACTCGTCCGTACAGAACTTCAGGGGCAGGCAGCGAATCTGAATGTGGGCGCAATCGCTTCGGCCATGTATAGGTCGCAGCTTTCCGCCACTAGTCTGTGATCACTCTGCTCCTCGTCGGTTTGGCCGCTTCGGGTTCCAGGTTCACTCCCCTAAGGGAGGCTGTATATGCAGTGTGCCATGCGAAAACGCTGCTGTCACATAGCCTTGTTCAGATACGTATTCTGAAGGCTTGACCTTGCTCGTGTTCACTCGGAACACGCAAGCTGATAGGCTTCATCGTTGCTCCCACTGCTTGCTCGAGTTCGGGTTTGCCGGGGCACAATGAAAGTGTGGCTTGGTCATAGATGCGCACAGGGATTGGGGCATCTTATTTGGGACAGGGTGTGTGGGTTCATATCACGTGCTCTTCGGACAGTTCTCCATGCTTGTCGCCCGTGTGCTCTGTGGTTGTATCACCGCGCATGGGTACATTTCCTTTGTGTCTGCGTGTGTATGTGTGTGCGTCCCTTTCTCTCTCTCTCTCTCTCTTTCTCTTTGTCTCACTCTCTCTCTCTCTCTCTCGTGCGATGTCTGGACATACTTGGTAGCATGTGTTGTCCAGTCGTAAAGCCTGCGGAGTTCAGAATAGTACAAGTTCGTGCAATCCGCTTCTTTCCAAATTTTAGAACGCTGCTGCTAAAGCCCCACTCTCGCGGGCCTTTGAGAAGCAGGCTTCGGTCGCAACACCGAGACGGCGCGTCCAATGACCTCCAACCGGGCGGTCAGGGCCTCTGTGTCTTGCGGGCTTTGGATGGGGGCAGCTCAAGCATTGCAGGTTGTGATCTCCGCCTGTCAGATGAAAGAGGGCGCAGGAATTAAGGTTTAGCATGTGCTCGTTGGCGTCTTGTTTCTCAGCCGTATCGAAGTTGTCAGAAGCTTCTGGCCTCTAGGAAGTTTGAGGGTCTCCAGAGTTGAGTCAAGACAGTTCTTAGTTTTTTTTACATCGGCAAGTGTAGACGGAGCCTGCGACCTGATTATGCAGCCGCGTGGACCGAAGCATCCACATTCAAAGGGGCGACAACGGGATGTGTACACTGCGTTTGGGTTGTCGAGTTTGGAGCTCACAGTTCTTGCCAATCAGCACACTGAGCTCCCGAGTCCTGCAGGCTGGTTACACTGCCGCCGGCAAAGCAGGAGGTGGCAAGGCCACTTCCAAAGCCCGACCTCCAACGGCACGAAACTTCATCCTGGACCCCACGGCTTTTCTTATCCTGAAGTCTGCTGGTCAGAATGCTTGAGGGTTCACCGGATGTTCTTGGGTTGTCTCAAGGCAAAGGCACAGGCTCTAGGCTCAACTAGGGAGTGTCCTGGGATATTTCTTGCCTTGGGTGAGCGGCAAATATCTGTGAGACCCTCCGAGAAGCCCAAAACGCTAGAGCTTTCTGCCAGCCCTGCATGTTCTTTCGCAGGTGTTCGACCCTCTAAATCAGGGGGACAAGGGCACAGCCAAACCGCTGGAAAAGAAGCTGGAAACTTAGTGGTGGCATGTGCTGGCTTCGGACAAGTCCGGGAGTTCTTGTGCTTCGATTTTCTTTGGCTCAGTGCAGGGGGGCTGGACACAAGATGAGGCTCCCATGCTTTCACGCAACTTTTGCGACAAACATCTTGATCTTCCTCGCTTGCCGGATTGTTGAAAGAACTCTTTAGAAAGAGATCTATTCAATTCAGTTTGACGGCAACAGCAGGCCCTATCCGCAGTCTGTGCACAACAGTGCGTTCGGAGAGTGTTGATGATACCTCCTGTGATGATCTCTCTTCGGACCGGTGAGGCTTCCGGAACTCCTAGATGCGAACCGTTTATCCTGTCCCACTATGCCGAAGACCACACGAGATGGGCATACCGCCATGCCTTGCAATGTTCATGTTTCGCACGGACATTGTCCAGCCCGAACTCGCCAGAATTCAAACCTGGAGCATGCCCTGGACGGCAGCCTCCGAAACCCCACAAACTGGCAAGGAGACTACAACCCAAACTAAGCATCCCGAAAATCTCAAGCCGAACTCCGAGGACTGAGCTGTCTCCGGAGGAAAAGCTCCGGGAAATGGAGAAAGAAATCCATAGGCTGGTTTTCTTGCTTGAAGTCTGCAGCCACAGCCTTACACTGCGGAACTTTCGTGTTTCAGTTTCTGCACATCTTTACCCAACACAGTCCCCGATGTCCCAAAGGATTACGCTGATGGCCCTGAACTTTTCAGATTCCCTAGAGGCCGTAAGCTGCCCCCAAGCTAATTTCTGAACTCCACGCGCTTTCTGCTGAGACGCAGGTTGGTCGAAGAGAGCGCGATAACCCGAGAACGTGGGAATCTGCCTTGTTCTCAGCCTTGCAAGCCTGGTTCCAGGATTTTGGGTGGCGGGCTGTAGGCTTGTCGGAGAAATCATCAGTGGTCAGCCACAGGGTTCGGCAGTATGGGTGGCTTTGGGGGTAGGTTAGTCGCAGTGGCACTATGTGATCCCACAATTCAGGTTATAATCTGCAAGGGCAGAGGGTCGCGGACGATCGGCTGAATGTGGTTTGTGAGTTTGCTTCGAGTTTCATGCTGGAAGGACCACTGGAAGGAGCCCTGCAGGCCCGCTCGAGTACCCGACATCTACCCACGCTACGTCTCCGCCTCTGCTGCCAACCCTGCCGACTCAGGCGCGAAGCATTAGAGAAAGGAAAAGAGGCCGGCAAAAAGGCCAGCGGGGATCCGGCGGTCATATTTAGCGGGTTTCGCACAATGACTTCGTGAGGCAACAGCATGCTGAGTTTACAGTGTACCGTTTCTGGTACAGTGACGGTACGTATGGAGTCGCGCTTGAGTATCAAAAGTTTTGTTTTCCGGGATAGTTCAAAAGTCAAGCTCCAGCTTTCCAACAGCAGCCTGAAACCTGCAGAATCTGCACCCGACCGGCCGCCCAAAGACAGCTGTAAATCGCCGACTTGGGGAGCAACCGTTCATTCATGGCAACGTTTGCCGGCAACCTCGTGGTGCAAGAACAGACTGGCACCAAAGCCTGCCGGCCGTAGCCTTTCGAGATCCTAATGTTTGAAGGTACTGATGCCTCAACCAACATGGTATTCCAGACTCCTCTTCAGGCTGACGGAACAGGGTCGATCAACAAAAAAACCGGTACTGATGCTATTGAAGCCCTGCATCCACCCATGAAGCCCTGGAACCTCTGAATGATTGAGCCTTGCAGAAACCCGGCATCGGCCCCTGGAGGAGAGGCAACTTTGTAGATTGCGCGAGCAGCAAAACTTGCTGGATCAGCTCAACGTCACGGCCTGAGTGGAGCCGACGAGCGCAGCGTCGGACCAAGGGCCGCCAAGCTCACATGGCTACGGCCCTGGCTGGGTTTGCGAGTTTTTCCTGCGATTTTGCCATGTTCAGTTGGCGAACAGCTAAAGCTGCCTGGCAGCTGGTCATGCTGAGGAGGATCGCCCGTTTGGTTTCGACAAGGAAAACTTTCGTTCACGAATCCTTTACTCTGTGTCGAAAAGCACCCGGCCAAAAACCAGAGCCTCTAAAGTGGCTCGCCTAGGGCTTACACTCTAAGGTGGACCTCACCTATGCCGTTTGCCTGAACCTGGCCATCCAGCACCAGGCGAACGACAACGACAACGAGGCAATGGATTCTTGAAGGTCTCATGTAGCCTCGACGTGTCGAGCATGTGCCACCCCAGCCAATGCGCCTGGCAGCCCGGCACTCTTCAAGCCTCGACCAAATCCCCAAGCCCTGGTTCACGTTGATACCGAGCCCTGCTTCTCATGAAGCAAAGTCTTGAACGTTTGGTTCTCTCAGTGCTGAAGCTATCCATTTTTGCCGATAATTGAAACCATACACCGTCGAACAAAGGGGCAGACAAACCATTGTGTTTTCACGACGCCTTCTCGTGATCAGGATGCAACAGAGCTCCATAAAAAGCCTAGGAGTTACAGAGATCTAAAGAATCCAAACAATCCAAAGTATCTAAAGCATGACGCCCCAGAGCCCAGAGCTCGCAGGCACTGAACCCTTTTGACTCGGCCGCTTGGCTTGAGGCGCTGACGATCTATACACAGATCGTCAAGAACAAGCAGTATCCTTTCAGCGGCCGATTCCGAGTGAACATGGGCAACATCTACTTCAAGCAGGAGAAGTGGACAGCTGCAATCAAGATGTGGCAGCCTCAGTGTATTTGGGGTTGTCGGCAGGACCCACTGTGCGATCAAGCGTTTCGTCATCTGTGTTTTCTGCCGGCACAATGTGGCCTGTGCAGCTGCGGGTATTGGAAGAGAACCAACTTAAACTACACTAAATCACTGCGACTAGCGTCGGTGGCAGCCTTGGGTTTCTTTCACAAAATTGTTGAGCAGGGCTCTGCAACGCACGGACATGAAGGGCAGCGCCTTGAACATGTTTGTTCATGCTACAGTGTCTGCTACAGGCAAACCGACACAGCGCCCCCCACTAGCTTCAGGCGTTGTAACCATATGATGTCTCAGCACTCTGTCTGATGCAATGACAACTGGGTACCTTCCGGGTATCCGCTCAAGTGAACGTGAGGAATGGGTAAGTCGAAGTAAGAACCGAGTTTCCGGGTTCCATGTGAATCCATCCGGTGATTCGTTAACATCCGAACCCTCAAGCGTGCCGCGTGTTTTTTGAAACGTACACATAATTATGTATATAGACATAGGTAGACGTTTTCTCACAACATCAGCTTCAGGTACCTTGACTTTACACACTGATCACAGACACCGTTGTCCTGCATGCAGACCTTCAACGGCCGCCACGACTGGCACTGCAAGATATCTTTCGGGTCATCTTACTGACAGGCTGCCTTGTCCCTCCCCAAAGATTCTCCTTGCGTGGATTCTCGGACTAGAAAGCCAAGTCGCAAAGCTCAAGCATTGGCCGCTGCCGCCAAGGTACCGGATGGCTCTAGACCAAATCCCGAACAACGTACAGGCTGCCGAAGCAAGAGCGGTGCAGAGACTTGAACCCCAGAGCAATAGTGGATCAGTCCAATACCTTTCACGAGTCACAAGAACTGAAACCCACGTTGAATGGGTGAATGAGTGAGGAAGAAAGTTACTGGCCAATGCAAAGTCACAGATGTTGCGCCGGACTCGTTTCTTGAAACCTGCGTATGGGAAATGCTCAGCCACTGTCGGAGTTGCGATATGTTGAAATTTAAGAGGCGACATGTCGCAGCCTGCACCAGTCGGTCGCATGGGGCACTTCGTCACGCAACTTTCAACCATCTTCCCTGCTCCGACTTCACCTTCGTAAAAACACGTAATGTGATGCGGGAGAAACTTGTTGAAGGACTTGGAGGCTACTCTCAAAGTGCAAGCAAACAGTTTTGTGAAACCCGCGCACAGAATCATGACGAGAAATCATTGGAATCCCGATTGACAGTCATATTCAGTGAGCTGATGCTCCGACGATCTTTTCGTGCTTGGGGCTTGGAGGTTACAACTGTCTGCCGACAGGCCATTCGCTTCAAGATCATGCGAAACATTGGCCTGGCACTCAGTCCAGGAAGCGGGAGAGCCTGGACCGGGCTTTAGAGGTTTACAGGTTTGAAGGCCTGGAGAGTCTCCCGATTCCAAAACTAAAACCATTGAAGAACCAATCAAGGCTTGTTCGGGATGTGAGCACACTCACCTCGGATTTCCTGCTCTGGCAACTTCATCCTCCGTACCTCAGCAAACTGTCCGCGACCACATGCACGCATGCATCGGAGTTTTGCGGCGAACCTCGGGTTTGTTCTTTTGAGCACTGGCGTCAGAGCTTGCAGGGAACAGCCTATGGTACAGTGTCCATCCCAAGCCCTGACAGAGCTTCAGCTAGAGTCGTCGAACCCCTTTCTGTTTAGTGGTTCCATCTTGGAGCGTAAGCATGAGCTCCAAGCTGGAGGCCATGCCTTTTTCAAGATGCACCAGTTTCCGGACGCCATCGACTCGCCAGTCCCTCAATTCACCCACAGCATGAGCCAGAAACAAGGCGTTCCAAGCAACAGAAGTTACAAGGGGTTCGGGCCCTGCTCGTTGTCAGGAAGTTTTTCCAGAGTGGACAGGTGGCTGATTTGATGACGTGTGAAGGGAATGTCCTGACTGATTCACAGCTGTTCAAACCACCCAACGAACCCCTGCTCGAATCCTTGCCCAGACGATGCCCATGCCCCAGAAGCTTCAAATCCTCAATTTGCACATACCCTGAATCCGCTCACATTGTTTGCGCAGACAGCCTCCAACGAAAAACCTGACAGCCCAATGTGTCCAGGTATGAGAACCTGCTGATGCACGGTGCACAGCACCTGGATTTCATGACAGGTTCACGGCCCCAGAGAGTCAGGCTGTTGTAGAATGTAGAAGAGCATTTCCAGACTTGGGGGCTTTGCGGCTTTGTCTTGGTTTGGCGTAGAATGTTGCGAATTTAAGTTTCTTGGATCAAAGGCTTGGGAGAGCTGGTGCTGTTGTTCCTTCCGTCCCGTTTGCAATGAACTTGGGTAACTTGGGTTCACCAAATTCGGAGCTTGGAGTTGGAGCTGTGAAATGGAAAGTTTTAGCAAAGCTGGCTGGCTCTCCTAGCGGCCACCATGGCCGTCAGTGCGCCTCGATAAGAAGAGATACTCCCACTTCTTAGGTGCAGCCTGGTTGATGGCACAGACATGATATTAAAGTCGAAGTTGCGAGACAGCACCTCGCGGAATGTGAGCTTGAGCGTCCATCGCCCAGGCCATGTTGAATCGCATGTTGTTGCCAGGACAGGAACGACTTCACACTGTTGAAGCGGGACCTTAAAGTCTTCAAAGTTAAGATAGACTTAGTGAGTTATAGTGGCTCTCAAATTGGCGCCGTGATTCGACAGATTTTTTTCATCGCAGACAGTTCACATCTCATGCGTGAGGAAGGAGATGGCGATGGGCACCAGGTTCCGTTGATAGCTTCGGGGCCGTAGACTAGCGAAACTGTCCCTATGATTGCTACATTGGCCGATAAATACTCTTACGCTCAAACACTCTCTTGCCAGGCACCATACATCCAGGAGTTCAATGGTAGCGCCAGTAGAAGATCTTTGGGGGTTAGGTTCAAGAATGCAACATTGTCAGATGGCTGTCACATACCACCTACCAGGGCTGTGTGTCCTTTTGCCAAATCTGCAACTTCTGACCACAACTCGAAGGATCCCGAGTTCGTTGTCGCGTTTAGGAGCCTGCGGCTCCCTGTTACCGGTAGCAGGCTAAGTACTCAAAGCCTTGAAAATCGAAGCGCCGTCATCGCAGCCCTAGCACAGGTTTCAACTTGATCCTTTGCTACTACGCGTTAGGCGACAAGGACCGACGACGGCAGAACATGACGTTGGGGGACTTGAAGTGCTTGATAGCTACGAGGGACAAAAACTTGACTCTTGACATACCAAAGCTCTACTGGGGAACCCAGCCCGCGCTGACAGCGCTCGACCCCTTTCAGTTTCAAGACCAACTTGAAACAGCTAGGACCTACGAAGTTAGCAGCGTGTAATTGTCCGGTTCATGTTCTTGGAAGGTGAGCTTGCTTGAGCAATCAATGCATGAAGCAAGCCTCTCAGAAGGACAAGATGAAGAGTGGCTTTCTCAAACTGCCGGGTCCCAAAGTTGTCAGGAAGTCTGGAGGCTTTTTTCAAAGCCTCCAAAGGATTACTGCGCATTCCGTGGTGCGTTTTCTCAGAAGTCCTGCGTGCTTCATTTCCCATGTTGGGTTTGTACTTGGCAGAATTCGGGTTTTACCGATGCCAGGCTGCACCCAAACCTTTCGCTTGGCTTCAGGAGGTTACATCTGTTGCGAACGGGGGACATGCTGCAAGGCTTCCGGCAGCAAGCTTTCTGGACAGAGTGCCTGCCCCGTACCAGCCACCAGTTTAGAAGGCTCTACGTGACGATCCAACATCCCGAAGCAGCAACGTCCGCACAAGCTCTTCCAGGAGCCAGCAAAACGCCGCCTAAATCATTCCGCGGGGTATTCGAAACCAAAACTGATCGGATACCCGTGTTGCAGGCCCGACGGTTTAGGCAGAGATCCGCAACTTTCTGCCTGCATCCAGAGCTTCACCTTCGCCGCGTTTCGGCTCGGAGCTTCGGACTTGCAGACTTGTAGAACGAGGCGAAGTCCTCGCGAAGCCGGGGCACCTGGGGTGCGGTGAGCGGTTTAGGACTTCAAATGTAGTCAAGAGTATTTGTATGGCAAGAAACAGGCAAATGCACCAAGTTCCCGCTTTTGGACTGGAGGGTTTGGTTTTTGGTTGTCCGCGGGTTCAGAGCGTTGCTTTCGGGTTGCATGGGCATTCAGCCTGGAGTTTCAGGATTTCGGGGCCACTGCAAAATGTAGAGAGTTTAGAGGCTCAACCTTCACGCCGCCCCCGTAGCTCTGAAATCATGTGGTGGTGTTCGCCCGAAAGAAACCCAAGTGGGGTGCGTTTGCATTTCGCGGTTTCGCTCGTACCTGATCACTGAAAAGCTCTTGTCTTGAAAAGCATTGCGACCCAAACACCAGTTTTTTTCCGAACCTCGAGCCTGCACGTGACATGTCAACAGAGGAACCACGTATCTCTGCTGCTCAGGCCAAAGCTGAGCTTGTGCCGACGTTGCAGGCTGACTGTCGGCGCTGCAGTGGTTCTGCCCAAAGGTTTCAGCCAGGCACTTCCGAGGTCAGGAGTCCCACTCCTCAAAAGATCTTTGGGAGAGGAGTTTGGGCAATGCATCTGAAAACAGCAGGTTCCCGGCAGTTGTATCGGTAAAGTCTGGCGCTTCGCGTCTTTGAATCTGGGCTGCTGTAGGATGGGGCAGATCATCTCGGAGATGCCTTGTTGTGCCGGACAGACGCCAGACGAGGCTGGCATCTCTTCCTTTTGCTGGCGTCCTTGCTTCCGTGCTTTCTGCATGGGCTCTGATTTTCGAATTGTCGACGTGGCGCCGCTTCTGCTCGGTGACTCCTCCCTTTCGGCCGCTGTCGCGACATGGTCTGAAATGAGGATGCTCGCTGCGAGCCGCATGCGAAGCCGAAAAATGTGCAAGGTTACAGGAGCGACATGTAGGATTCAAGCGAACTCAGGGCCGAAAGACCGAAACCAAGAATGCCGGAAACCCTGTCAGGGAGTCTCTACGAGTAAGCAGCTTAGTGTCTCTCGAGCCGAAACCCGAACGAAGCTAGGACAGAGCCACGCCAGCTAATTTTACAAGTAAGTTAGCGGCAGGGTAGGCATCTCGAGGTGCAGCCCGACATATGCCGCATCCACGAGCTTTCGGCGCAAAGTGCTTTTTCAGCAGCCACCCGAAATCAGACATGCCGCGCATCACCGAACGGCACGTACATGTCGACAGTAAGAGGAGGAAGCCATCAGTTGCAGAGAAGTGGCACGGACGAGGGACCTTCCTCGGACACAATGCCACATCCAAGAACCATCTGGAAACCCAAGAAATGTGCAACTGCACGAAGCCGTGCCACCATGCCACACCACAGGATTGTCTTGGACATGTGCCAAGCATGGTTCCCTCTAGTCACTCTAGTCGTGGCCTCATCGAGAGGCCATCCGAGATGTGCGATGCCGAAGAAATACGTGGCCATCATCATATTCTCACAGCATTGGTGCGGCACAACAACAGAACATGTCAGCTCACACGCAATCGTGAAATGCTAGGAAAATTGGAACCCAGCCCGAAAGCTGTTCCAAGCATGCAATTGCGGCCGTTGTGCATTGCAGTCTCCCGACACCACGGTTTTTGCGCCTGAGCTGTGGCCTGGCTGCACTGAAGGGCCCGGGCTCCATGGCTTCCCAAGGTCCGGCTCGCGTCAAGAGCCCAAAAGGCCCCATGCCCAAGCCCGCTCCAAGATCACCAAGACCCCACAGCCTCGAATCAAGCCCGAAAATATTTGTGTGCCTGCCCCAAGCCCAACTCCAACAAAAGATCGCCCGAAGAAGCGACGCTGCAAATAAGCGTTTTGAAGGTAACACCTCGGTGCAAAAAGGCCCCAAGGTTCCACTCCAGGCCCCTGCATCCGGCAGCCCAAGCTGTCTGTCCGCATGCTTTGGAGCTTCTAGATTCTAGAGTCCCTCAAGCCGTTATCTCCAATGGATTTGGGTTGAGGATTTCGGGATTAGGGATGTATGAGAGCTAGCATTGCGAGGTTAGCGATTCAAAATTTGTTCGCTGTGTTTACGCTTGAGGGTTGGGGGCTGACGGCTTGTAGTCAGTGTAGGCTGTGGCGTCCTGGGTACTCTAGATTGGGCATGCCTGAACAACAAGGTATTAGGCTAAGTAATAGGCAGTGTCGTTCGAGAGTCGAACGAGGAGTTCCGGGGTATGGGACGCACAGTCATCCCCCGCACTCAGGCAAAGCATGCCGAAGACAGCAGCCAAGATGCTGGGCGGCAATGACATATTGTTCTCCATTGCTTGCAGCTGGTAGCGTTGTAGCACCTCGTGAGTGTTCAGCGTAGAGCCTGATCAGAGTCCTAAGGCTTGTCTCAGATGAAGGCTTATATTGCAGACCCTTGCAAAGCATAAAGAAGATAAACAAAAAGCATATGGCGAACAGGTTCAGACCCAAGAGAAGTTGATGGGCCAATGACTCTGGATCCTCCTTCCACAGCAACCCGCAAAACTTGAGTCCTGGATCAGCAGCGTCAGCAAGAGCCCAAACTCCCAGAACCTCCAGCAGCCCAATTGGCCCTCCAGGAAGCCTGCACTTCCACGGAACCAAGAGACCCCAGCCGCTGCGGCCCCCGACGTCGTCTCAAGCGAGGCTCTGCTAAGAGCTCAAGCCACGCCACCGTCTAGAACCTTTGGGACTCCTGGGTCTAGAGAGCTTTGTATTTCACGCGGACCGGGGGCTCAGAAGTGACCCGTCAAGGCTCCCTGAAGAAATCCCCAGCTCTGGTTCCTACTAGAATTGGTGTAGGCTGTCACTGTGTTGCCTTTTACAGTTCCGACTCGGCCACCATGGTCCTGGTCGCATTAAGAATATACGTACTGCCTGTTACAGCTCTCGTTTGTTTCCCAAGGCAAGAGCTCAAGGCCCATGAACACAACGGCGGGAAACCTGCGAGGCGATGGCCAACCTCCTGGCCATGGGCTTCGACGAGGCGGCTGCAGGGGCTCAGGATGTTTGGGTGCTTCGGTGTTTGAAGGTGCTTCTGCACAGTGCATAAAGTAAAATGCGCAGGAAGAAAAACCGCTTGTACTAGAAACAGTGACACAATTCTGAGATGCTCTTGGCCGCTTCCGCTGTTCTGGATGCAGAAGGAGAGATCCAGAGAGCTTTCGCGCTCTATGCAAAGTCCGTGTAGCAGGAGCCAGCACGAATGGCTTTGATGGACTGCGGCGGCGACGTGGAGCAGGCCGGGCTCCAAGCCCGCATCCTGAACTTGGAACAGTCATACTACAGTCATTACATTACAAGCTTCAAGAAGTTTGAGGCTTCGGCTTCGGGTCAGTCTTTAGGGATGCAGTGAGGGGGCTACCCAAAAAGCCTCAGGATGCCTTGTCTGGCACGACACCCAGAGTTTCGACGGCTTGAGCCACAAGCGAAGTCCCAAGCACGAATTCACACCCAACATGAAACCATGCCAACTTCACTCGAAAGGATCCTCACTGGCGGTTTAAGGTTGCGGATCGTAGCAGATTGATCGCCGTGGTTTCAGCCGAGACTGCGCCTGTTTCGCTTGATTGTGGTCTGGCGAGCCACTGTAGAAGGCGACTTGAGCCGTGTGCACAGAAATTCTCAGACACTGAGACACCAAAGTTTCAATGTCATCGCTAGCCCACGCCTGAACTTCCGTATGCTGACGCTTGTCTGTGTAAGACTGTGGTCAAAAACTTGCTGTTAAGTCATTTCCCCCCTGCTTGCACCCCTGCTGTGCAAATCTGATCCCAGGCCGCGCAGATGCTGACCTCCGCTGCGGCCGCAGAGTCGGATCCACGCGTGGAGCAGCAACCTGGCTGCCGATGCTAGGACCTTCCTAGCAAAGCCGTCTAGCCTGTAGGGAGGGCTGCCTTGAGGGTTGTCCGATGACGTCTGCTCGGCGCGACCCTTCTGCATCTCCGATTCTTCTGAAGACGTACGCCATGAGAGGGGCTTTTGGGATCATGCTTGATCTGCTTCAGTTCTATAGGCCGCTTTAAGCAGCTAAAGGCTCGGCAAAGCAATGGTGAGCGAGGACCGGACTTCGCAAGACTCTTTAGGATCGGTGGAATGCAGCAGGATGTCGGCCCTGTCGGCTTCACATATTCAAAAGGATGACCCCATGGGGACGCTGAGAGCTCACTGCCTCTCAGGCTGGTGCAAATGGGCTTCAACGAGGAGCGCAGATGTCGCTCGTGCTACTGCTACTACTACTACTACTACTACTACTACGACTACTACTACTACTACTACTACTACTACTACTACGACTACTACTAGCTCCCCCCACCAACCTCTGGCGCCATCCGGGCTGGGCAGTGGCAGCTTCTCGGCTCCCTAAACGCGGCAGCTGCAGAAGATGCAGGGGCCTAGGCTCCCTATCTGTGAGAGCTGCAGAAGTTGCAGCAGCTCACTTGCCTTAGCCTTAGCTGTCACAGCCGGTAAAGTTGCAGAGGCTCAGG